CTTGTGTATCAGTAGGTCAAAACATAATTATACATTGTCCGCTATATTTCGCACTTGTAATTTTGTTGTCCATGTCCTAAATCTCTAACAAAAGTTAAAACGACAGCCTATTCTATTTTTTAATTCGTTAACTAATAATCTCATATTTATTAACTAGCTATTATCAAGTATACTAACAGCAACAACCAAAAATAAATTAACTAAACCATCAATCAAACCACTTTTAGATATAAACCAAATAACCATTAAACCAATAATTTTACAAGCAATACAAATACCATCATTTTTAACATGCTTCTAATCCAACTTCCAAAAGAAAAAAAAACATTAAAAAAACACCAATTCGATCATAGATCAACCTCCTCTTCATGCCACAATTCCACGATTACGCTTTCTTCGCCTGCACTACAACATAAAGATATGCGTGAGTATTATACCAAATAGTCAGTAAGATGACCCCCATGTACTACCTATACACACAAGCGAATTACACAAACCAACACTCAATCAAACAACAAAAACATCAGACCATACATAACAAGAACAAAACAACTCTTAATCCAGCCTAGTGTCGACCGATACCCTCCTGGTGTCTATCTACACTGCCTCTTAAGATACAGCAGAATCGCCTCTTATCAATCCTGAAGAATCCTTGCACCATACACGACCATGAACAAACCCTAACCACCAAATCATCACGTGATCTTTTCTTGGGGGTTTTCCTCATTCGCACAGTTCCATCAATCAATTCCTAGAAGTCACCCATCCTAATCCTACTATATCTCAAGAACACTTAGCTGTCAAGTTCTTTTAGGATCTTTGGCCAAAAGAATAATTGTACTTTCATGACATAGTTAGAAAAATCAAATCTTTTAAACCTCTCCGCATCTTTGCTGAAACCAGGGAGGCTTACACTTTAGAGGAGTCTAGGAGCTTTGTTTCAGGATATGAAGGGGATCATTACATAGTAAATACATCGATGTCAAGTCTTGACATGAAAGGATTCCTATGTCGAAGAAAGTTACGAACAAACCTAATTTTAGGTTTTGGGGAGGATGGGCCGACATTGTTGAAGATAGGCTAGGCTAAAAAACTTGGTGGGTTTAAGTATAATGGACTCAGAGATGATTTCATTAGAAAAATAGGGTTTTTCCTCTAGTAACCCTTTTCGTCAACGAGGCAAGAGGCGACTATAATCTTTGTTTTAGGAACAAAGTTTCATATCCGTATGGTTCGTTTAATGTTAAAACGATATCTCAAAAACGTGATTCTAACGTCATAATTCAAAAATT